TTTTCCAATGATTTTTTTTTTAACACAATTTTATTAATGGAGACCTGAAGCTATGCTTGTATGGCAATTCAATCAGTAAACCAACAAATCCACCGAACAATCAATCAATCAATCATTCAACTACTCAACCAATCGTTTGACCTCGTTTCAATGTTTATTTTAACTCTCAGACTTCTAACAACACAAAACCCAGCTCAACACAGCGCAACACGGCACAACACAACACAACAACAATAAGATGAAATGAAATCACGCGCACACTGACTGGTAACAACAACAACAACAACCGCAAAAAAGCTCGGGAACGCAAGATCTATTGCGTTAAGATTACAAGGGTTAGCCTTCACATCGTATATATTGTTGCCTGCATGACGTGGCGCGCTTTTTTGATCGCAAGATGGCCAACTTTTGGCGGGAAAAGAATCGGCGTTGTTTTTTTCTTTTGTTTTTTGTTTAATTTTAGTTATTTTATTGCTTGTGGATGTTTTTTGTTCTTTGGGTTTCTTTTTTTTCTTTGTTCTTGCGTTGTTTACTGTTTTTCGCATCTATTTATAGTATTTTTTGATTTATTGCAGTCGATTTATTTTTCACTTTTCTTTCTTTTTGTCACACCGGCAGGTTACAACCAATGTTCATAAGTGTTAGTATGCGTACGTGTGTGCGTGCGTGTGTGTATGCGTGCATGTGTGTGTGTGTGCGCTCGTATATATCTATATATGTGTGTGTGTGTATGTGTGTGTGGGTGTATGTGTCATTCTGCATTTCCTTGATTCTTCAATTATTCTTTTTACATCTGTAATTAGCTGTGGATGGGATGGTGTGCGTCTGTGTTCGTATGTGTTTTTGTGTGTGTTTGCGTGCCAACATGTGTGTTTTGTGTGTGTTTGTTTATGTGCGTGCGTGTGTGTGTTTGTGTCTTTCAATCGAACATTCAATCATTACATCAGATTTTCTACAGTTTTTCAGTTAATAAATTAATTAATTAATCAATGATTCTGCCAGTAAATAAGCCAACCTTCTCCCCTTCATTTGACTGATCAACTTTTTCAACTATTTCCACTCAACCAACTAGTCAATTTATCATCCAATCTTTCAAACAAACCAATCAATCAACAAATAAATTAACATCTTTTTAATCAATCAGTCAATTTTTTGCAATCAATCAACCAACCATTTATGCAATTCAATCAACATACTTGTAAATCAATCAACCAACCGACCAATCAACCAATTGACCAACCAACCAACCAACCAATCAACCAACCAACCAACCAACCAGCTAACCAACCAACCAACCAACCAATCGAACAAGCAATGGGCGCTTGATTCGTAATAACATTCACTTAGGACCGCCTTATAAATCTTGGCCTTATAAATACTACGCCATAGTATCATATTTTATAATAATTATATAACATCATCATCATTTTTATCATCATCATCATCATCATCACCATCATCATCATCGTCATCATCATCATCATCATCATCATCATCATCAAAACAATCATTATCTTTTTTAATAATCTTCATCACCATCGTCGTTTTGGTCAGAACTATTAGCCTCATTTTCTAGTTATCTTAACTGGAACTTATATACGAAGTGGGTGTATGTGTGTGCGTGCGTGTGTGTGTAAAAATCTCTCTCTCTCTTTCTCTCTCTCTCTCTCTCTCTCTCTCTCTCTCTATATATATATATATATATATATATATATATATATATATATATATATATATATATATATATATATATATATAATATTATCCAACCGTAGAAATGAAATTTTATGACGCTACCGATTTTCTGTTTTGTTTGTGTTCTATGTTTTGTTCATGCTTATGATTATTTTTATTTCTCGGCTAATTTTTGTTTTATAATGACTAAATGTTATATCTTTGTTAACTTTTTTGTACCACACCCTAATTTCCTAATTGTTATTTATTTAGTTTCGTTCTCATTAGGTTTTTTTTTCTTTTTTTTTTAAATCGTTTATATGGCGCGCAATTTCTTCAGAAACTTTTTTTTTATTTTTCTCATTCCTGATTTATGACGGCCCTCCATGTTGGTTGATCATTAGCAGTCGGCAGAGCCCGAATGTCTATTAGCGACGATGTTGTTTCTTGCTGGCAGTTTCGAAAAATAAAGTTTATCGAAGAGAAAATTATTCATTGTAGTAGTTGAAGTAGTAATGGTAGTGTAAGTAGTAGTAGTAATTGTAGTAGTAGTAGTATTAGTATTAGTAGTAGTGGTAGTAGTAGCAGTAGCAGTAGTTGTAATAGTAGTAGTGGTGGTGGTGGTAGTAGCGATAGTAAAAGTAGTAGTAGTAGTAGTAGTAGTAGTAGTAGTAGTAGTAGTAGTAGTAGTAGTAGTAGTAGTAGTAGTGGTAGTAATAACAGTTAGAATAGTAGTGATAGTTGTAGTAGTAGTAGTAGTAGTAGAAGCAATAGTAGTAGAATTAGTAAAAGTAGTAGTAGTATCAGTAATAGTAATAGTAGTTGTTACTGTTGCTATTGTGGTTGTTGTAGTTGTTGTAGTGTTGTGGTTATTTTTTTCAACAGCATCATAAACAACGTCAAAAACAACAACATCACCAACAAAAACAACAGCAGCAACAATAACAACAATAGCTCCGATTGGCTTGGTTAGGATGGGTGCAAATAGACATCTTATCTTGTGCCATAAATCACCTTTTATAAACCAATCAATATATAGTACATATAAATTACTAACAAATGTATCACTCTATATGTATGTATGTGTGTATGTATGTGTTTGTACGTGTGTGTTTGTACGTGTATGTATGTCTGTATATTTATGTTTGCGTGTATGTATTATGTTAATGAAATTGAGTTAGTGTTCATTTAGACGTGTGTATCTTGGCTCATGTATGTTCGCGCTATTTTATTATAAATCAATGAATGTTTAAATGACAAGAGTTACACACACACACCACACACCACACAAACACACACACATACATACACACACACACGAACCGGTATATAGTGCACGATTCTTTGGTACAAATTTAAATCCTTTGCAATAGAAACAGACGACCTAAATGTCTGACGTTTCGCTTAAAATGTTGGAGACCATAGAAGCGTATGGAAAATAATAAAACGGCTAGCATAGATGCGAAATTATTTGTGAGTGGGCGATAATAAGTCTGGGTAAGATTTAGAAATAACTGCGGGCGATAAAAGGAAGGTTGATCGTTTGGAAGCGACCGTATTAACGCGCGCAAACTTTTACTACCTCTATGTGAATAAATGCTGTTACAGCTTATACCAATCCTTTAATACCAATTGTTCCTTTAAGTATTATTGAAATTGTATAAACCTCTGTTCTTACAGCTTATACAAATGCTATTACTATCCATGTAAATATTAATGTTATTCTTTTAAATCACTGTTACATTACAATTTCGATAGGTGATTCAACAATTATAGCTTGTACTACTGCTACTATTTACGAAATTACTACATATGCAAATAATATTTAACAGGATTTTTCCATGTTTAAAATTTTTTACCTCTAAGATAAAAATATTATTTTGTAGATAAGTTTGATAAATTATCTGTTATGTATTGCTAGTTACGATACTAATATAGTCAGCATTCTATTTTCATTTTCTTTTATCTCTCTCTCTCTCTCTCTCCTCACACCATCTTACATTTTTCTCTTTCTTTTTTCTCTCACCATCTCACCACTCCACTCATCATTGCAATCATCACCAACACAACCAGCCAAACAAACCTCAATTAATTTTCTTGCGCTATTTCAGTGGAATCATTTTCTTTACTGGCACTAAATCAGTCGCTGGATAGCCGTAATGGAACCAAGGGTGGTGTTTGATGCCGCAAATATTATTATACAAAAGTCAATATACAGTAAGTTGTAGATTTTTTTTCCATCATGGAAAGAGAGAAAGAGAGGAAGCCAGAGAGAGAAAGGGAGAGAGAGAGAGACAGAGAAACAGAGAAAGAGATATGCACAAAATAGCCATGAGAGTACATACATGCATAATTAAGACAGTCAAATTTTGTATGTAAGTAAAATAAAGAACTGGATTGAAAAAAAATGGGAAAACTTGATGAAAAAATTGAAAAAAGATGGAGATAAAGAGAAAAAATTGCAAAAACTGAAAAATGCTTTCAACTAAAACAGCCGAATGCACCAAAAACCCTAAATAAAGAATAAAAAAGAAAAAATAAGAAAAAATCTTTATTCTATTGCAAATGTGTCGACCGCAAAGTTACTTCGTCATCATACATGAATTTTAAAAAGCGCCATTATCTTAGCTCCTGTTGCCGATTTTTTCATTCTTTTCTCATCGTTTGTTTTATTTATTTATAATAATTTCTCAACACGCCTGTCAATGTAAAAAATGATTCTACGAATTTATAAATAATTAATCGTCAACATGTGAAAACGTTTTAATCAATATCAAATATGACGTCATCATCGGTTTAATTTACTGCTACTACTGCTACTACCGCTACGGTTTTTATTATTTCTACTACTGCTGCTATTACTGCTGCTGCTGCAGCTACTGCTACTACTACTACTACTACTTCAAGTTAATCTCGTGTCTAAAATTTTTGACGTAAAAAGGTGCACCTACTAACGTTGTAATTGTGTTGAAATTATGTGTCAGTATTTAAACTACAATCACCATCATCATTTTCATCATCATCATCATCTTCATCATCATCACCATTATCATGGTATGATTGGTTTTATGACATCACCGTCATTATTTTGTTATCAAAATTATTATTATCGTCGTCGTCTTCATCATTGCTGTCATAACTACTGGCAGACCCATGCTTCTCATCCTTTTTATCATTATCATCAACATTGTCGTTATCTCTTTTTTCATCGTCATCATCTCCATCGTCATTTTTTATATTTATTTGTTTGGCTTCCTAATAAATAAATAAATAAATAAATAAAAAAAATCCTCATCGTCATTTTCTTTATCATCATCATCTTCATCTCAATCGTCTTCATCTTCTTCATCATCTTCTTCTTCATTGTCACCATCATCTTCTTCTTCATTGTCGTCATCTTCTTCATCATCATCATCTTCATCATCTTCTTCTTCATTGTCACCATCATCTTCTTCTTCATTGTCGTCATCTTCTTCTTCATCATCATCTTCATCATCTTCTTCTTCATTGTCATCATTATCTTTTTTTTCATTGTCGTCATCTTCTTCTTCATCTTCTTCTTCATCATCATCTTCATCATCAGTAACCTGTATTAATGAAAACAAACGCCTCTCATTAATATAATTGAGTTTCGACTTTTTCGTCATCAACACCATTGACTGCCAGCCAAATAAAACTGGATGCAGTTTTTAGTCATGATGATAATGATGATGATGGTGATGATGATGATGGTGATGATGGTAATAATAATATTATTTTAATATTATATATTATCATTAGGATGATGAATGAGGTGATGATTCAGATGATGAACCAGATGATATATTATATGACGCTGATGATGATGACGACGATGATGACAATGAGGAAGATAATAATAATGATGATTTAGATAAAGAATCATATATTGATGAATCATATGAGGGTTGAGATTACTGCTGATGGTGATAATGATACAAACGACGACAATGATGATAACGAAGACGATGATAATGATGATGGTGATGACGACGGTGATGAACATGTCTTATCCATACAAATGATGAATTCATGTCATTCTAACAAATTACATGACTCAACGTCAAATCACGTTATTATGTTACTACTTGACATTGCCTCTTGACGTGAATATATCACGTAACCAAACATCAGATCATGTGACTGAGTCACATGACCTCTTCATCTGACGTCATTAGAAATCTCGTCCGCCATTTTGAAATCTCCCGGGATGACGTCATATTTCAAAGAGGAAACTGTCCCTGTAATCATCGTTGGTTTTTGAAGTTCCAGTTGCAAAAACAACAACAACAACAACAACAACAACAACAATAATAACAATAATAACAGTGTTTTATAAATTTATTTATTATTATAATCAAGATAATTATGATAAAAAATATGGAAACAAAAATTAAAATGCGACGACAATAAGGACAAATGATGCTAATTATATCAATGTTTAGAGTAAAGAAAATATTAAGAAACAGAATTTTCGTTCCTATACTCTTTTTCTTTCTATCACTCTCTTTTTTTCTTTTTTTTTACTTTCCTTCTTTCCTTTTTCTTTCGTTCTTTCGTTATTTTTTTTTCTCTATTTCTCTCTCTCTCTCTCTCTCTCTCTCTCTCTCTCTCTCTCTATCACGATGATTTAGTCTTGAATTTATTTTTCAGATCAAGTGAGACACAGTAGTGAGAAGATGAACGATAAGGATGTAAGTGACCGTTCTGGTCATCTTCAACAAAATAATTAACATTTTTGTTGATATCATTTTGTTATCATCATCACCGTCATCATCATCATCACCGTCATCATCATCATCATCGTCATCGCCATCATTATCGTCATCATCTTCGTCTGGGTCGTCATTAACGTCATCATTATCATCGCCATCCACCTCGCCTGTGGTTCATCGTCAATTATTCAAAACTGACCCTTAGCTATGTGTGTGTATGTGTGTGTGTGTGTGTGTGTATGTATGTGCGTGCGTGTGTGTGTGCGTGTGTGTCTTTTATGCTTATGTATTTTTATTTTTGTTTAATTTTTATCTGCATATGTTTTCTTACGTTAGGCAGACGTATGAAGGTGTGTGCTTAAGATGTGCGTGCGTTTGTTTGTGTGTGTAAATGTGTGTATCAAAATTAAATGAAAGTGTGCGCTTAAGATGTGCGCGTGTTTGTTTGTGTGTGTGTGTAGATGTGTGCGTGCGTGTGCGTGAGTGTGTATGTATGTATCAAGATTGAAATAAATGTATTTGCGTGCGCCGTTTGAACATAGGCAGGCGACCAGCGGGTGGTCATTGTGGAAGAATTGTCCATGTTTCACCGGTCATTATCGTCTGTTCTTCTTAATTTCGTCTTTTTGTTTTTTGATATAAAAATTTTTTGTCCAGCGTAATTTTTAAATTCTGTATTTTTTTTGTTTGGTTTTTTTTGAAATTTTTAATAATATAGCCAACGCTTTTTAACGACAATCTATTTTTCATTTTTTTTGTCTGATAAGGTTTTCTTTGGTTTAACCCGCAAAATGGATGTTCGTGTTTGTACACGTTTCAACGGTTTTCAAAACTGCCGTCACTTGTGCAAACATATGTTACGTAATATAGTGCCTCTAGTTTCAAAGTTTATAAAATTCTCTATTTAATAATCTTTTATAGTATAAATAACTGTAGCAGTATTAGCAGAAGTAGTAGTAGTAGTAGTAGTAGTAGTAGTATAGTAGTAGTAGTTGTGGTATTAGCAGCAGCAGTAGTAGTAGTAGCTGTAAGAGTAGTAATATTATCATTAATACAAAACAGTTTTCACTTTCGGAACCGCGGCAAACATTTTGAATTCACGGTTTTGTCACTTTGTGTTGAATTGATAACAAAACTTTCACCTTATTTTTTCAATTATCCTGAAGCGTTAACAAATCAGCATGCCAACAAACACACACAAGCAAACAAACAAAAGGAAAAAGATGCATACGGACAAACACAAACACTCGCATTCACACTCATTTATACAAATATATATACATATATGCAATACACTATTTTATAAATTGTACAGAGTTGTGGCTTTAATTTGCTTATCATACCCACACTTACGTACACAAAAACAGAAAAACATACACATGCAGATTTAAATTTAAACACACGCGCGCACACACACACACACAGACACACACAAACGTAAGATCTAACACGAAAATGCAGACAAATGTTTGTTTTATACGAAGAAAAAGTATTAATTTTGTTATGGGACATGTTATAAATATCAATCTAGGACTCTCCCTTGCTATGTATACTGGGTAGGTCAGCAGCTGAAAATTCTGTTACTATTAACAACACTAACCACAATCAAACACACACACATACATACATACCCACAGACACACACACACACACACAGACACACAAATGAAATAAAAATTATAGCATTACTGCTGACAAAGATAACATAGTAATATGCACTATGCGCAGTTTCTCATTTTCCCCATTTAGTTACTCATTTAAGCACTTATTTGGTAAAATTACTACTTGATTCAGCATTCACGAATTTAGTAAAAAGTAGTTTAAAAAAAATTTCGATGATGATTAGTAGTAGTGGTGGGTATTTATGGTAAGTAGCAGCATTGGTAGCACCAGTATTTATAGTAGTAGTAGTAGTAGTAGTAGTAGTAGTAGTAGTAGTAGTAGTAGTAGTAGTAGTAGTAGTAGTAGTAGTAGTAGTAATAGTAGTAGTAGTAGTAGTAGTAGTGGTAGTGTAGTAGTAGTAGTAGTAGTAGTTGTGGTGGTAGTAGTAGTAGTAGCAGCAGTAATAGTAGTAGTAGTAGTAGTAGTAATAGTAGTAGTAGTAAAGGTAATAGTAGTAGTAGTAGTAGTAGCATGCTAGAAACAGTGACGGTATAAATAAGCAGAAGGTAATATTGTTTATTTGCGATTGGACTCAGCGTAAAACATACCTTAATGAAATTTCTCGCGTTTTATATTCGTAACCAGCGCTCGGATGCATGGATGGATGGCTTCATCATCATCACCATCATCATCCTCATCGTCGTCGTCGTCATCATCATCATTGCAATTATCATCATTGTTATCATTGTCACTATGCCTATCTTCGTCATCTAATAATGTATCATCTTTATAATCCCGTTTAAATTATTTTTTAATCATAGTCTATCATCATCCTCATCATCCTCATCATCATTATTATTATTTTTATTATAATTATTATCATCATCAACACCACCATCGTCATCATCATTTTTATCATCGTCATCATCATCGTCGTCGTCATCATCGTCGTCCTCATCACCATATTTGTAGCATTATTTAAAAAATATTTTATTGTCAACGAAAGAGCGGTCGCTTGAATAAGTGTGCATCCATGGTTAGTTATTGGTACTGGTACTTTATGTATTTCTAGGAATCCGAATGATTGCATGCAGTAATTCGTATCTTTTTATGAATTTACTGTATGTGGCTGTCTATGAGCAGTGCATGTGTTTGCGTGTATGTGTGTGTATACAGTAAAAGTCCTCAAGAGAGGACGCTGACGAAGAATGCTCAAACTCCTCGTTACTCTGAACTGTCCTCTCCCGAAGACTCAACATTAAATTTCAATTATGCTATTCAAATGTTATTTTTACAAGTAAAACAAAATAACAGCTTTTTATGCATTTTTATTTAACTAAAAATCTTCGCTGGTTGTTTCACATAACATATAGTTTTGATATAGATCTTTTTCTAAAATATTTTCAATTCAATGTATTCAGAAAATTGAAACCTTTCTTCATTGCCATCACGGATCGAATAATATGATAGTTTCCTGGCATATTCTAATGCCTTCTTTGTAGATATGATTTCTTGGCTGGGTGCCTCTTCTTCCTCTTTTTCTTCATCTTCATCATTTGGATTTGATCTCCATTGTCGTTCGATCGTTTCTTTGTTTCGGCGAATGTTCGCAATTTGTGTTTTTTTCTTTGCATTGAAATTTTACAGCAATCTTTCTAATGCTATCTCCACCATCTAATCCCCTGTAAAACTGGATTTTGTTCTTTCGAGGTCTCAAATTTTGTTATTTGCAATGCAACAATCGAACGATTTATTAACGAGATGCCGATGAAAAAAGCGATTTGAAACTATTTGAATAGCAAGCCAAAGATTAATAATGCTTTGTCAACGCATCTTTGTAAAATTTTAAAAAATATTTGGTTATAAATTGTCCGCTTTTTAAGACTTAAAAGTAATTTTGCACCAATTCTACTGTCAATGTTTGTGAATGTATTTTTGTGTGTGTTTGTAAGTATGTTTCTCTACGTGTATGGGTCTGTGTGTATATGTATCTATGTTTATATCTGTTTTTGTATATATGTGTGTGTTTGTATGTGTATACGTGTGTGTTTGTGACTGTGTGTGCGCGTGTGCGCGTGTGCGTGCGTCAAACTTTGCTGGGATCTATTAAAATTTTAAACTCCTACAATTATGTTGCCGCTTCTTTTCAGACAGTTATAATGATGATGACGTGATGATGGTGATAATGATGACGTGATGAAGATGTTGGTGATAATGATGATGAGGATGAAGAGGTTACTGTCTGACTGATGTTGGTAATGAAAACCCAACAGTGTTGTACTGTACATGTCAGTGGCGCATGCTCTATGTTTAATCAAGCGTGTGAACGATGATAAATACGTTGAAGATGATAATTGAGATAATGATGAAGACGACGATGATGTGCAGTGGCGGATCTGGGGGCTGGGGTAGAAAAGGGCCATGGGCCCCTGTTGTAAGCAGTGTATTAATAAAAGTCAGTAAAACTCAGATTTTAGGCACGAATAGCTATCATTTAGTACTAAGAACTATAATTCGATTGTTTTTGGGAATGGGACGCTGATATAGCAAATTAAGCTGGTAGATTTTTTACTAGATTTATTTAACACTGAACCTCTTAGGCATGAAAATGTGTAATTTGGTGATGGAAACTCCGACGTTTTTGATATGTAGTGTTTAGTCTTTTAACCGACCAAATAGTTATCATTATGTAGTACAACAATTTTATTTTTTGCTGTGCGGCGCTGATGTAGTGAATTAAGCTAGTAGTTTGTTACTAGATTCATAAGGTGGCGGATCTAAACAGGCCGGGGCGGGTCATGGCCCCCCGTTACGAATCTAAAATTGGCCAAATATTGACGTGATGAACCACAAAACAGAATTAAGGTCTAATTTGGCTAATACAAATCTTTTTGGTTTCCTGGTCCCCAGTTAATATTAAACATTTTTTAATAT